TACTGTGAAACCGCAAAAGTGGGACAATCTTAGAGACTGAGGGCTGAACCACTAGTACAAAGAAGGACGCCTACGAATTGCTGAGCGCGGGGCTGTATTCAATGAGAAAAGGAATTTCGAGGTGGATGAACTAATCTAATGTACGATAGTTCTATCCGAGAAGGGTTTGCCCAATTTCGCGCTTCAATGGTGCCTCAAAGGTCCCCACGCTCACTGGTGCAGACGAGAGAAGTGGACTTGGTGAAACGGTCCCATACCCGAATCTTCCCATCTATTTGGCTCAAATTACTCAAATGAGGGCTCTGCCTTGACTACTCTCTCAATATATTTGTCCCGAACCCTAAGATGATCCTGGTAGATTTTGCTGTACCTTTGTATAAACTGAAAATACAAGGAGCAACCGTTCCTCTTTCGTTTCTTCGTGATCGTTTCTGGCACCATGACAAGGTCTTTTTGCTCCAGAACGGAAATTGCTAAGCTGAGACGCCCTGTTTTCCCTCCCCCATTTCCATCCCCAGAAAACTTCCCACGTTTCTAAACGCAGTTCTTCTTTCTCAGAGACCCCTGTGTTTTCATCCTTTCTCCTTTTTGACTGCAATTTCTTATCATCATAACAGATCGCTTTGAAACGATAAAATCAACGACCGGTCGACTGTCTCGATCGAAGTTACCCATTCGAGCGCATGAGATTACACTGCGCGTATTTCGCGCTAACCTATCTCAATTCACACTTGAATGCCTAACAACCAGCAGTATTCCACTCACAGGCCCCACATACATAGCAGTGGGAACCTTGGCACTTGTCATACTGCACCATTCCATATATCACAAATGTCACACCATTACCGTTACTTTTGTCCCAGAATGCAAACTTTAGAAAACCAGAACACCTACTTCCCTCTCTTTTCCAGTTGTGTCCATCACAATACCAACATAGCGCTATCGCTTCAAAACTCCGTCCGGTTCGCAAGGGGGATCGTTTTAGACTTTATGTTCCCGGAACATTGATAATGTTTATCTACTTCAACAGTAGTAGTCCAAAATATTGACTGGCGAATATTGGGAATCAAATCACTGCAACAATTAATGTCTTTTCGCAAGGGCGATGGAGAAGATAAGACAATGACGCATTTCTTGACAGCATACTTCGCAGCATAAAGGAATGTGTCAGGAGAAATTGAATCAAACCACAATGAAAACGGTAACCTATGACCTTAGATACAAAAAAAACTTACAGTTTCGAGGTTCGAGCCATACCGCGCCACCAATTCTTCCATGGGGATGGTATGCTCATCCTAAAATTAGTTCATAAGAAATTCAATGCATCAGAAAGGTCGAAAAATAAGGGCAAAAGTAATTTGGGGAGGGGGGGCAGGCGATGCTACTACGTCACATCATATCGCGTCATGCTTGTCTGCTCTCCTCTTGCCTTGCTACATCTTTCTGAAGGCTTAGAATGGATAGGCGTCAGGCACTTTCATCGCTGGGAAGAATCTGTCCAAAACTGACCCCACGTACCCGTCCTACCTATCATCTTACTGAGGTCCCCACTTCATAGCAGGTTTTAAGGAAATTTCTGAAAATTTCCCAGTTTCTACCTAAAATTTTGCCTTCAGGCTGGGTAAATTCAACTATCGAAAATAGCACATGTAAAGCTTTAGCTGCACCGCCCACTATGTATGTGAAAGTGGAAAAGCGAGAAACGTCAGCAGCCCAAAAAACTTCCTCTAGGATAGATACGACCCTCCCCCCTCCTAAAACGACGAAAAAAAACCCTTACAATGCAGTCTACAAGGATCTCTTAACGATGGGATAGCACGCATAAAACAGGAAAAGGAAGAACCATCTATTAACAAAATATTCCCTCAACCCCCTCCCTCAGTGGGGATTCTCCAACGCACGACGTCCTCTAGTAGGTATACTACTCTCCCAGTCGGGTGGACAAGCACACATGACGTGACATAACTGCCAGCTCTGCCAGCCGGGTTACAACCTCCAACTACTTTTGCTCCGAAAAATGTAAGTAATTCTGTTAACGTACCATCTTAACCTCCTGCTTGAGCTCATGGAGATCATTTGCCTTATCCTTGGCCTTTCCCATTGTCTAAAAAGAAGCTAAATCTTCAACGAATAGATAACCTAAAATTGCGATAAAAATCAGAACACGAAGATCAACAATGGGCTTAAATAGCCTCAGAAGAGAAAAAAAAGACGTAGGAAGTGAATTGATTGGCAAGCGTGATTGAAGTGGCATGACGAGCACATACGATTGATAAGCCGGGTATAGTTGCGGGGAAACTCAGCGGGAAGCACCGACCGAAAGTAAACACAACAGAGAGTCGATGAGAATCTTATTGTGAGCGGAAGAGAGTCTCGAAGGCGAAGACGTGCCCCCGCTAGCTCGGGCAAAAACCCAGAGAAAAGCTGGTCGATACACCCGCCGAACCGACTAGGCAAACGACGGCAAACTTTGTTTTATTCACCATCGCCCCTATTTACAATGCTACTAAAACTCGTGTTTTCATCTTGAATATAAAGAAAACCAAGGAGAAAATATCAACACTACTGACAAAGGGCGCTAGCTAATCTCCAACGGAGAGGAGGGATCTTTTGTGAACTGTCGTCCACATAATGAGCAGTTTTATAGGGTCCTGTAAAGCTCCAAAGTTACGTGATTCGTACCAAATACGGAGGGGGGGGCAGCAAAAAAGACACTTTTCTTCCTCGACTTTCAAGGCGATATAAGTTACACTTTATTAAATTCTGATGGACATTTCCACCACCATATTCAACAGCATATTGTATACTATCATGATACTCCGCCACAGCCTTCTGGACGAGCGCCATCGAGAGATTCTGCCACGCGACCGTGATTCGGTGCCTGAGTTCAGCGAGATCGTTGATTTCTCCGCCACTGTAGACCACCCTGTTGAGCTCCTTCCGGACCGGTAAGGGTTCAGAGCAGGTTTCACACTT